TTTTATAAGCAGGGATATGCCTGTATCCCTGGCGTTTTTGGGGTGGTAATGGAGGGAGATGTTCAAAATCCCAACCTAGATCTAAATTCTGGGGCTGTCTCCTGTTGCTGTCATGGCCTTAACCAAACCTCTGGTTCCAAACATTTTTGAATGTAAAGGTGTTGCATATCCAGATCAGGCCTATTTCTATTTCTAACTGGGCTAGTATACACCTCTACATAGACTCTATGGGGTATGTAGATCCTTATCTACTCTGGTTTAGGAGAAGATGGTAGAACATCATGTTTAAAAAACACCGTTGCTGCTACAGCGGTTTCAGTTCTACTGTGGACAGGGCCTAAATACTAAGGAGTCAGCAAAGGTAACAGTTCTTAGGATTACAAAAAAAGGTCTGTTCTTAACTTGGGTTAGCTAACCTGCGTGAGCTCATGGGTTACAACAGCAGTGAAGACATAGCAACTGAGCTTCTACCTCAGGTTAGCAGCGTGCGCTAAAGCCCACAGGGCTTACAGTCTGTCTTCATAAAACTCAGCTGCCGCTAACTCCGAGGTAGTTTCTATAAAGTAGTGACCACCTTCTCATTGGGCTGCCATCACTTGGCCATCTTATGTTTATCTAGTCCAGCCCTGTCACCTCAGTCCTATTTCATACTTTTCATTACACTTACAGTTCCTCAGCCCCTCCTTTTAAACCACCACTCCAGCAACAACTAACACAGTCACAGGATGGCACCTGCATGTCTTCAGGGGTTCATACAGCTGTTGGAGACAATCTCTTCTAATGGTGAAAACCTCTCTTTGGTTTCGGTTGCCTCTTCTCCCAGAAAATCCAGAGGGAGCAGAGATGGTCTGAACCAAAATTGTGGATCAGAGCACCCTTCAACTTTGTGTACATTATGAATCTGGATCCCAATCCAAAAGTGCCTGTGAGGATATGTGAGCTGTTTCTTTAAGAGCCCAGTTCAACAAATTGCTTAAGAACGTGCGTAACTTCAACCACCTACCTAGTCCTGTTAAAGTTACCTGTGTTTAATACCTTGCTGACTCTGAGCCAGAAGGGAGAAGGAGAGAGGGACGGTGTAGCTTTAGAGCTTATACTGTTCTGAATAACATTCCCTGTTCAGTGTTAGAAGACAGCAACTTTCTGGGATTCTTTACCGTTGTCACCGGACAATGCTGGGCATGTATTTCTATAACAGGCCTAATCACAACCGAGATCTGAGTTCTCCCCATTCGCTGCGTTCTAAATCCACATCCAGACATTGTGGCCTATGCCCATCTCTGCAATGGAGAAGTAAGTACCATTCTAGCGCCTCATTTTAGAAAACCTTCGCCTCTTATTTGTTCCCAGGAGTGACAGAAACGTACCTTTTTCTTTATCCAGCTGAGCTCGCAGATTCTCTAGATGAAGAAAAAGGAGACAGGGATGAGATCTCATGCACACCAGTTCTCATAGCACTATTCCAGATGTGCTGTCAGCACCAAATCCTGAGTATAAAGTGGTTTGAATTTGTGCAAAATGTCACAATCTCACACCGATCTGGCCTCCCGTCAGTCGTTCATCATATCCAACAAGGGCATTGCACACCCTTCAGCCATGTCACCAGGAGGGACAAAATCACCCCAGCACACCAGGTTCTCTAACTTTCCAGAGATATGCAAAGGGGCACATGTTATGACCCTACCTGGGGCCACCTGTGGGGCCACCCCAGAGATTCATGGATTTGCCGGACTGAGCCAGATTTTGGAACTTCGCTACCTGGTGCCTGGCGTGATGCCATCACCCATGGTCACTCTGGCTGGTGCAACAATCCCTAGTAGGCTGTGTGTGTGTGTGTGTGTGTGTGTGTGTGTGTGTGTGTCTTTTCCTCCTGGTCTTTGTAGCACTGTGGTAGTAGCACGATTGTCTCTAGTTAGAGGGGACGGAAGCCAAAATTTGGAACAACCCTCCTCCCACCACCCACAAGTACACCCCATGGCTCCCTTCCTCCCAGCTCCCACTGAGTGCTCTGTTATATCACCTCCCAAAATTGTGGATACCCCTCTCTGCCCCTTCATGTACAGCAAACACATTCAGTTCCCAGAACCCTTTGCACTGGCTGCAGTGAGACTTCAAGAACTCAGGAGCGGACGGAGACTCATAGGTGCCAACAAGGCATGACAGAGTAGAACCAAGGGCAGACACGCTTCTGCACAAGAATCAGCTGGCAGAGTTTTTGTAGCTGAAGATGGTTCAGGAGTGGTGAGGAAGAAAGCTAAGGTCCAGTGAGAGACGTGGTGGGGACCCATAAATGACAAAAAACAGATGAGAAAGAGTGAGATGGGGGAGGGGGACAGAGGCAAAGGAGCAAGGGGCAAGCAAGTGTAAGGGGCACCATGAACCAGAGAATGGGGTAGAAGAGAGACACAATGGATCCCTGGGGAGAAAGGACTGGAGACATCACCCACAAGGTCACTTTGTTTTACCTTTGAACATGGCCAGCACCCCCATTACAAGGTGATTATTTTCAGAGAAGTCGCTGACTCTCTTCTTCAGCACGGGAGAAACGGGCTCTGGAGTTGGGACCTTCACACACTCGCACCTAGGAAAACACACATATCCTGAGGTCTGGTCTACACCTAAAACTTAGATCAACTTATCTTCATCACTCAGGGCTGTGAAAAAATTCATGCCCTGTGCAATGCAGTTAGGTTGACCTATCCCCCACTGTGGATGCAGTGAGATTGAAGGAAGAATTCTTCCGTCAACCTCGCTACCGCCTCGTGAGGGGCTGAATTTACTACAGTGATGGAAACCCTCTTCCGTTGCTTTACTTGGTGTCTATGCTCCAGCAGTCCTGCAGCAGCGCTTGTAGTGTAGACACACTCTGAAGCGCGTTCACCTAGCTGTCTAATCCCAAACTCTCCATCCGCCCAGAAAGAATAAGGACCTCAACCTTCTGAGCCCCATCAACACCCTAACAGGGACAAGTTCATCTAATCCGCATGGCAATTATAGAAATAGGAAGGGCAGCAATTATACTGGTTAGCAAGTACAAATGAGAATCTTACTACCCCCCTTTGAACTATTATTGTTATTCAGATTACAGAGGTGTCCAGATAAAATCAGGGCCCCTTTGGGTTGGAAGCAGCACAAACTCACAGCAAGGGAGAATCCCTTTCCTGAAGGGTTTAGAGTCTAACTAGACAAAAGCACAGGGAGGGGAAGTGACTGCCCAAGGTCACCCAGAAGGTCAGTAGCAGAGCTAGGACTAGAACTTGGCTCTCCCAATGCCTGGTTTAGTGCCCTGTCCAGTGGGGAGTTAACACCTCATTTTACACAAGGAGAAAGAAAGGTACTTAGAGGCTGAAAGCCTGATTTTTCAGAGCTGCTGATCAGCCACAACTCTCACTGACTTCAACTGGCTGTAGGGGACTTGCCTGACACCGCTCGGTCTCACCAAATGTAGAGGAGCCATTTAGTATTATTTTAACAATGTAAAACAAAACAAAAAAAAGTGGAGTTTTTATCAAAGTACCATTCCCCTGGCAACCAAAACCCAGCCCCTTTGTACAAGTGACTGATATATTAAATACAAAACATCCCACAGCTGCTGCATGCTGGGAAGTGGGGTCTTCAGGACTGTTTCCAAGAGTTTTCTGAGCACACTGTGGTGGGAGGGAGAGCGGGAATGAGCCCAGAAGGTACCTGCTCAAGGTGCTGCCAACGTCCTAGAAGGGAAAGAAAACAGATGCTCAGTTCACGTGCCACAAGAAAGGAGGGTCGAATGCGGCTCCCCGCTATACCAGGGCAAGTCAATGGGGCTATGTTGGTGAATCCAGCCCAGCATGTTTTCTGCTAGGGGGATGAATCTGTGTTTGCAGTTTGAGTCCCATCTGCAGGTCTCCACAACGGGGAACATTAGATTTCTGGTAACTTAGGCCCCCATCCTACAGTTGACTCCACGTGGCCAGATGCCTGCTCATCAGTGAGGCTCTATGAAGGTGAAGGGGTCTGCCTGCGTGAGTTTCACTGCAGGATCGGCACCAAAGTCAGAAGCAAAAGGGAGGCTTTATTTGATTCCCAAGGATGGCTCCCTCATAGTCTCATCTCCATAGCCCCTCTTTCCCTGCCTCTTCCCACCTCATCAAGATAAGACTCCTCCAACCGTTCCAGCCTCTTGCGGCAAGTGCTGTAGGACCACCCACCTCTTCCCCCGCCTCATACATCAAGAGGCACAGAAGCCTTGCGCTCCCCTCTCTTCCAGTCATGACACCGTTGATGCCACCTCCCTGCATGCAGCCCCTCTGGGCCCCTTCCCAATTCTTCTCCACAGTCAGCCTCAGATACCGAAGTGCTCTGCGTCCCTGGTCTGGTTGGAAGTGAAGGCCAGGGAACTTCCTCTAAGGATGGGATTGGTTCCTCCTACAAGTCCTGACCTGACCCATCTCCCAGCAACCAGAAATCTTCCCTTCATGCCTGTCTACCTAGCGACCTACTGGCTTTCTCTGAACCCAGGAAATGAGCCAGTTCCCAGGTGACATCCCAGGTGGGAATTAAATAGTTAAACATTAACCCTTTGGACACCAGGTACTTTCTGAAGCCCCAGAGACTGTTTGGAGTTTCTCCTCATGGGTAATTTTTCTCCATTTCTATGCAAGATCATTCAGAGGAAGAAACGCTGCCTCTGTTTACATATAATCCAGAGATGCACTGACACCGTAGAGTTCAGTGTTTCAGCCTTAGAGTCAGTATTTCAGTTATACCGTGAGCTCTGAGTCCTGGACTCCAGTATCCCAGAGCTGGGGTTCAATACCTCAGGAGTCTTTCCTCTTTGCACAGGGTCACAGGGTATGTACAGTGCCGCCTCACCTTAAGGAATTCTGTCGCTGGCTGGGAAGATTTCCTTTGTATCTCGCTGATCAGTTCGTTGAGTAGTAACGTTTTCTCTGACACTTTGGTGACATATTCATTCCGCCTCCTTAAAATCTCCTCATCTAGCACTTCCAGCTGCGCCAGAAGAAGGCACTGTTGTTCACCCAGAAACTCATGCAACTGCTCAAATTCCAACAGAATCTTCCGTCTCTCCGATTCTGTCTGTCTCTGCAGGGAACAGATATAAAGAGGGGAGGGGCATGTCGGTATTACAGGTGGAATCTTTTCACTCTCCATAAATCCTTGTGTGTGTGGATGTGGCAGGTGAGACAGAGTTGGGGGTTGGAAGAATAAACCTTACAGTGAGAACAAAGGACAAAAGAGTCTAGGGGATAGGAGATTGAGAAGTGGAGTAAATCATAACTGAGCCAGTGGAGAAGACAGCAGGAAGAGTGGTAGAGAAGCCACTGGAGATGACAAGAGGACCTGGTGCGTGTTGTTGAAGGAGATGAGGTGGTGGCAGGACAGAAGAAATGGAGCTGAGAGGTTAGGGAGGAAGCAGTGTTTAGAGAAGACAAGGTCAAGTGAGTGGCCATTTGTCAAAAAGGAGATCCAAAATAGGGATGAAGGTCAAAGGAGAAGAGGAGGGGGAAGCTAAGAGGTTGGGCTGGACATCAGTATGGAAGCTGAAGTCCCCAAGGGTGAGGATGGGACTGTGAAGAGAGGAAGAGCCAGGACTCAAAGTTAAAGAAGGTGGCCAGGGAGGCATTGCGGGGGGTGGGGGGGCAGTGGTTGTCAGTAGAGGAGGCCACCATCAGGGAAAGCATCTATTGAAGCCGTGTCAGCAGGGAAATCTGATTTTATGTGGGTGCCAGGAGATGAAGAGGTCATAGCAAACCGACCTTTTTGGAGATGGAGTGAGCCTTCCAGGGAGAACAAGAGAAGGAAAAGAGGGAGGTTGTGAATGGGGGCTGAGATTGAAAGAGAGGATCCAGAGGGACAGAGGTGGTGACGGGGATGGGGGTGGGAGGCGGGGAGTGTGGGGATGGAGGGAGGACCCGGGTTAGGGCAGATGTCACCAGAGGCGAGGCAGAAGCAGTGGAGAGGAGATGTAGATTTTGGGGGGGAAGGAGGGCAGTGAGGGTAAAGGAGAACTAGCAGTAGCAATAGAAAGTGGAGGTTAAAAGGGATATGGAGACAGTGGGAGAGGAGGAAGGGAATAACAGATACATTAGTAGAAGATCAAGATCAGTTGGGAAGTGATCTGCTAACCAGAACGAGAATACAGCTGTAACCAATACTGTTTGCAATGAATAGTTCTGCCAGATCTATGGGCCCCAGACAGAGGGGCATGTTACTCACGAGGGGGTGTAGTCCGCACTGTCTGCTCATGCAACAGCCAAGTGCAAACCATGCCCGAATTACTGCCATGTTACTAAGGCCGTGTCTATATGGCGAGTTACTGCACGGCAAGCTCAGGTGTAAACCAACCAGCCTGCTGTGCGTTAACTGGCCCTGTGACCCTGCCCGATAGTTCCCTAGTGAACTGTTTGAAACTGCAGGGTAGTGGCGGTGTTGTCAATGGCACGGTGCGAACCCACTTGTCATGCAAACAGCCGGTGGGTGCTCTAGTACTGCTGCGATGAGGCCCATATAAACAGGTAGGTAGATAGGTAGGTAGATACCAGCAGTTCGTCGCTTTTCTCTTCTCCATACGGTTCAAATTCTTCTCTCTCTTTTTGTAAGAAACACAAATTGCTCTGAAGTTTTTCCTGGAAAGAAATATGGATTTGGTGATTTCCATGTTTTATTTTACACAGTATACAGCAGTATTATATGTGGTTATGTCAGCTCTACACATTTGCGAAGCTCCCTTATGGAGTGACAGTAGCAGCTCGATAGTTAAGGCCAGCTCCCCGTTATAAATCCAGTTTTCAAGCCTTCCTCTAATGTTCCCCAAAAGAAGCCAAACAACTCAAAGAGTTTTAAAGTTATCGTGACTGAAACTTTAGTTTATTTGTTGAAAAAAATCCTAACTTTTTGGCCAATAATATTTCTAAAATGTTTTGATATGGGAACCCCAAAAATGTTTTGTGGATCTTACCGAGAAGTGCCTTCTGCTATGTGGGGGCTGAGTTAGCGGGGAGGGGTTTGAAAAGACATAAACACTTGTTTTTACAAAAAAAACCAGGAGTACTTGTGGCACCTTAGAGACTAACAAATTTATTCGAGCATACACTTCTTCGGATGCATAGAATGGAACATATATTGAGGAGATATATACACACATACAGAGAGCATGAAAAGGTGGGAGTTGTCTTACCAACTCTGAGAGGCCAATTAAGTAAGAGGGAAAAAAAAAGCTTTTGAAGTGATAATCAAGCTAGCTCAGTACAGACAGTTTGATAAGAAATGTGAGAATACTTACAAGGGGAGATAGATTCAATGTTTGTAATGGCTCAGCCATTCCCAGTCTCTATTCAAGCCTAAATTGATTGTATCTAGTTTGCATATCAATTCTAGATATATGTTCCATTCTATGCAGCCGAAGAAGTGGGCTGTAGCCCACGAAAGCTTATGCTCAAATAAATGTGTTAGTCTCTAAGGTGCCACAAGCACTCCTGTTCTTTTTGCGGATACAGACTAACACGGCTGCTACTCTGAAACTTGTTTTTACATTAATAAAATGGATCAATAGAGTTATTGGCATGTAAAATTCATTATACTCTCAGTTATACTTTTAGTCTGGTGGAGATTTGCAAGCGTCAGTAGGAGATGTTTTTAAAAAATGTAATGGGCAGTTACTAAAGTTTGAATTCTCCAGATAATAAACACTTACATTGTTATCTATTGTTATCCTTTTTGTTGTGAATGTTTGAAGACTAGCTACAGTGTAACTTGCATGGGGTGATTGCAAGTGAAGAAGGAATATGTGGCATGAATGAAGCATCTTCATGCTTCGACTAGTTACTTCTGAGTTTTTGAGGTAGAGGAACCCTATTGAGAGTATAATAAATAAAATCACAATAAACGAACAACAATCCCTAGCTCTTATATTCATTTTCTGAGTGGTAGGTAAATTCCACTGAAATACATGGTCACCCTTATAAACCCTAACAAAGGTTTTGTTTGTGAATTTCCCTAAATTACACACACGTGTCGATAGCACTTTTCACGCTGCAGCACTCCACCAGTACAACCAGCATTTACAGTTTACAAACCAGTCCAAGAAGAGGCACAATGAGTATAAGACTTGAGCCAGAACCTGAGCAAGAAGGGATTGGAAGACCAGCCGCAGGATTAGTGAGCCAGACCCAAATTGGGCTGCTCATACAGCGTTCGTTTCTGTGCTGAGCTCTCCTCTGGCTTCTCAGCAGGACAGGCAGTGTGTCCCTGTGGGGGAGGGGGGAGCTGGGGATATAGGGCAGGATGGGCAGTGACGTTCCGGGGGGGGGGGGTAAGGGCGAGCTGGGGGGGTATAGGTCACGATGGGCAGTGTGTCCCGGGGGGGGGAGGGGAGGAGGAACCGGTGGGTATAGGGCACAATGGGCCGTGTATTCCAGCGGGGAGGTGGGAGCTGAGGGGTATAGGGCACGATGGGCAGTGAGTTCCGGGGGGGGGAAGGGGCACTGGGGAGTATAGGGCACGATGGGCAGTGAGTTCC